TTAAACAAGCTAATAATTATGAGAAGGAAAAAAGAATGTCTGGATTACCAAGAAAGGGAGATAAAAATTCATCAAGTTTTAAAGGAAACTATATAATGTGAGCTCTTGTTCAGTCATTTTGTTGATGAACTTCAAAATGTGTTGCTAATGTCACATGCTTCCTATTTCACTAGAATAAATCGGTGAAATACGAAAATTTCAAAGTGGCTTGGTTTCGGTTTCCATGGAGATTAAAGAAGCCAGGACTCGTACCCAGAACCAGAAGAACGAAGCCAATTCAAAAGCATTCTGCAAGAAGATCAAGAAAAAAAGGGAAAAAAAGCTATGAATGTTAGTTAATTTTTAACAAGCCAAATATAACAGATACATCTTGTTTATTTCGATGCAGAAGTAGATATCAACTTGAATTTGTAGGCAACATTTTTAATCAAGACATGCCTGAAAAAGAACAAAATGGATCAAGGACAACAGGAGTTCAGGCTTCTTAAACCAGAAAAGATCGTCACGAGGCCTCAGCTTTGCTCCAGAAACAAAGCCGGTTATACCAGCATTTTCCAATGTCAAAGTTGCAATAATATGCTGTAACTTTGTGCCTACTAAAAGAACAAGCTGTATATAAAATGAAAAGTAGCCAAAAGTTCAGCTGACCATCAACTAGATACATGCTGCAGCTCTTGAGACAGAGAGACAGAGGACTCACAGTAACAGGAATAGTTGCTATCCAAAAGTATAGATTAGACCCTGAAAGATGGGAAAAGATATCAAAGCTTATAATAACAAGCTAGTTGCAGTTTGAAAATTATGATTAAGGGACACGGTGAAGGACGACTGTCGCTCTCGGTAAATAAATAAATTGTTTAAACGAGAGCAAGATATGCAGCGATGCAAACAGAGGGTTACCTTTCACATTAAACAGCAGAAACGCAACAACAAATCCCCATAGTGGACCGCTGCAATAAAGTGAAAAGAGGATTGGCTTCCGTAATTCCCACGAAATAAGAAATTCAGCTACACTTGGGGATGAAACTTTAGAAATATTATCGCAGAAAACACATTCCTTTCAGTAGATTCTAAAAGTTAATTTCCTAAAAAAAACATAGAAAAGCAAAATAGAAGAGCCTATCGGAACAACATTCTGGGTGGCTTCAAATTTGTCTTCAAAAGATTTCCTATTCCACTCAAAGGACAAAACCATTGAAATTAGCACAGAAAATTTGTAACAGCAAATCTCCAACCGACGTTGGATCTCACAATCCACCCTCCCTTGGGGGCTCAACGTCCTTGCTGGCACACCACCGGTATCTGGCTCTGATACCATTTATACCAGCTCAAACCCACCGCTAGCATATATTGTCCACTTTGGCTCGTTACATATCGCCGTCAACCTCACGATTTTTATAACGCATCTACTAGAGAGAGGTTTCCACACCCTTATAAGCAATGTTTCATTTCCCTCCCCAACTGAAGGGGGAAATCCCAACAAAGAACGGAAGAGAGCTTCCTTCTTCTGACAATATATTACAAAGAGTAATAGCTGATCCTAAACTCTTTTATTTTGATAGCAATGACTAGAAAAATAGAATTACAACATGCAACATAGATTCTAGAATTGAAGATGACAGACACTTCAACTACCTCACACCAACTATCCTCTGGAATTCTTCTTCCATCGAACGAACCATGTAGCTATGGAAATCATATTTCGATGAGAGATTGTGATTCTGCAAAGAATAAGATGTAGGAAAATCGTAAATAATGATAACTAAAAGATTATATTTTTTATTAGTGAAGAAGCAGCTGGAGATTTGAAAATGCTACAGCTCTAAAACGTGCGCAAATGGTAAAGACAATGAAAGAAAGATAGCAATCCACACAAATAATTTATTTTTACTTTTTGAAAATCTTCAATTCAAATTAAGAACTGGTAACAGGATGGCGACAAATATAAGCCTAAAGAATTATAGAGAGCTTAAACATATAAATGTACCATGATGAAGCCTTTGCGAAGTGCAAGGTAGTCGGAACGAACAACAGAACGCCCAAATTGCCGAAAGAAACATGTCTACAGTTACCATTTAATCATTTCAAAGAAGGGTTAATGTCGATATGTAAGTCAATAGAAGTATAATTTTAATAGAACACCAATCGTTTCAGTATAGTAGCCCTTTGCAGACAATACACTGTTGAAGTAAGTATCCAAAATGGTGGTGGGTGTATGAATATAGCAGTCATACGGCATTGTCTTAAAGAATAGAAGTTAAATGCTTACCATCCAAATAAGAACACTCTTCCTGGTTAAAGGATTGGAGGTGTGATATTGTACAAAGGTAGATTGTCTCTGCATTATTTTTTTTCTCGTAGTATCTATAATAACAGCAGAGAAATAATCGTTATTTCACCAAAAAAAAAAAATCCGAACCATCTACAGAATACAAAATGTGATCATACTAAATACCATAGTATCAATTACAAAGTAACTTAAACACAAAAATGAACCCCTTAGAACAGATAGGTGCTGTTCATGAACGTCCGTTGAGAACTCTCTGGTGTTGTTGATACTTTGCTAAGAATATGAGGAAATAGGGACCAATAATTACTAAAATAATATAAGGGCATTTATGCTGAAGGACAATAAAAATTAGATCCAAGCATACATTATCACTTAGAACTACAAGCTGAAACTTATGTGGCTGAGCAAGATGGTTCAGGGAAGCACAAATTGAAGTCCCTGAGATATGAATAAGGGATCCTTCAGAAGTTCAGATGTAATATACCTCCATCATACAGGTTTAAAATGATTCAAGCTTGAAAACATGTGAGATCTCACCTAGGTTGGAAAGAGAAACGAAACATTCCTTATAAGGGTGTGGAAACCTCTCTCTAGTAGACGCGTTTTAAAAACTTTGAGGGGAAGTCCAAAGAGGACAATATTTGCTAGCGGTGGGCTTGGGCTGTTACAAAACAGGACATGGTAGTTTTGTGGCCGTTGGATAAAAAAGTTTTTCAAGTGTATTTGAACTGAAATCTGATATGGTGGCTGGTGGTAGGGGCTAGGCATGGTTGGAGATACCCTCCGAAGTTCTGGGTTTGAACTCCCAGATAGTTTGTGAACCCGTTTAGTGGCTAAGATAAGATAACCTAAACTAGAGTTAAATGCTAAGAAGCACACGTAACATAATCATAGAGCTCACCACTGAATGAATCATGGCGGTCCATTTGAGCTTCATTTTCCCATACTCTCCAACTGTGGATCTGGTCAAATTATCAAATGTCAACCATCAGAATAAATATGTCTTCTGTGAACTTTCAAAGAATGCAGACATTTTATTTGATAATAGAGGAATAGTCAATGCCTCAAATTAAAAGACTAAATTTCACATTCAAAACTGGTGCAACAAATAGATATTGGATTGAATATCAGATAAATCGATTTCACTTTCATCTAATAAGAAGTAAAGTTAGGAATGTCCGATGCACGGCAAGCAAACCATATCAAGATGCAATTCACTTTACAAAGATAGTGTAACAGCCCAAGCCCACATCTAGCAAATATTGTTCTCTTTGGGCTTTCCCTTCCGGACTTCCCCTCAAGGTTTTAAAACACATCCACTAGGGAGAAGTTTCCACGCCCTTATAAGAAATGTTTTGTTCCCTTCTCCAACCGATGTGGGATCTCACAATTCACCTCCTGGGGGGCCCAACGTCCTCGCTGGCACACCACCCGGTGTCTGGCTATGATATCATTTGTAACAGCCCAAGTCCACCGCTAGCAGATGTTATCCTCTTTGAGTTTTCCCTTCCGAACTTCCCCTCAAGGTTTTAAAATGCGTCAACTAGGGAGAGGTTTTCACACCCTTATAAGGAATGTTTCGTTCTCCTCTCCAACCAACGTGAGATCTCACAGATAGAAGTCAGAATGATCCATTTTACGATTAACCATCAAAAGAACAACATTTCTATTGTTCTTCTCCCAAATCAACCCCAAATAAAAGATTCCGTAAGTAAAAGGAAAAAAAAAACGATTTAATCTCTATGATTTTAGAGAATGCAGCAAACTGCTTGAGGAAGAAAATCTATGATTGAAAGAAAGTAAATCAAACTATCCATAAAATCTGTTTGCAAAACTTTTTGAAAACTGATTAAGTTTTCATCAAGGTTTAATACAAAATGAGTATGAAAGAACACCTAACCTTCACAATTGCCAGCAACATTGTCAAGCAACTATAAAATATATGAGTCACTGCCATTATAAAGATAAAGCGATGCAATTGTTCGAGACCTTCATAAGAAACAAATGGCTCATGACCCTGCAAGATGAGGAAATTTCAAATTTCAATGGACTATTGGGTGGAAGAAGAAACGGTTCGAGATAAAAAAAAACCATAACGTGCCTCTTTGCAAGTATTTTTGTTCACAGTTAGCATCCTCCTATACAAATGTGGAAAAACAGAAACCATATATAGTTTTCGTTTCTCTGATGAACTATTATCCTCATTTTGTTCATCAATCTCTGACTGGGTGCATGGAGTGAAAGAGGTATCATAAAACTTGGATGGAACGCAGATATTCGATATCACGCTAGATGTTGCTGTCAGAAGTAAAGAAATGAATCCAAGCAACATTAACTCTGCAAAGCCAAACAATTGCATTTATAATGAGAAAAATGGAGATCTTCACTGAATTAAAGTGAGAACCAGGCACCATCTGAAGCTATTCTTATTCGAAGTGATTGAGCAAATAAATAGGCCGGTTACCTTCTTTCATTTTCTCCACTGCCTCAAATAAAGGCTTTCTATGAGTTTTTCCCAGCCACTGAAAAAGTGAAAGTAACAAGCCCGTATCAAGATTAGGATAAAATCTGTAACAGCTCAAGCCTACCGCTGGCGGATATTGTCCTCTTTGGGTTTTTCCTTTCGGGCTTCCCCTCAAGGTTTTTAAAATGCATATGCTAAGGAGAGGTTTTCACACCTTTGTAAGAAATGCTTCATTGCAGTGGTATCAAAGCCAGACACCGGGTAGTGTGCCAGCGTAAGGGTGTGGAAACCTCTCCTTAATAGACACGTTTTAAAACTTTGAGGGGAAGCTCGGAAGGAGTCCAAAGAGAACAATATCTACTAGCAGTGGGCTTGGGTTGTTACAAAATCTGTCGTAGCTGAAACACAATGGATCATGGAGAAAATGTCTGGAGTCTCTGAAATACTTCTTAGCCAGATTATGTATCTTCTCTAGAGTAGAATCACACATGTAAGCACAAAAGCATACAGATATTTCTTGAGTAGTACAAACCTTAACATCTTCAATATCCAAGAACAATGTAAAGCTAAGCTGGCAAACACTCAGAGTCCAAAACATTTTCACAACAAAATCCAAATTCCAGACATATTTCATATAGTACATGAATTTGCATAAACGGGGGAAGTCAACATCTAAAATAAGAACTCCAACCAAGTTAATCATGCTATTTTTGTCTAGTGAACAGGCCAGATTCTTTGTTTAAAGCATAACAATCAGGGTCCAGAAATATACTTACAGAGCTTAGCCTATGGATGGACCGTTCAACAAGCAATGAAACAGCCACAAAAATTGTCAATACAGAAGCAACAGACCATGTGGGCGTCAAAGCCAGAGATCGCCCCTCTGGGTCAGCATTTTCAGCCATTTCCAACAAATCTCAAAGACTAACAGTATCAGCAGACTTCGCCAGTATCTTCCTGGCACTTCAGTTTGACAAACAAAACAGCTTCTTTGATCCTGAAATCGATCCAACAGAAGAAAACTCCGGAAAGAACAAACTATCATGTTTTGAGGGAACAAGAAGAACCCATCGGTAAATGCTTTTAACTCGATCCGATGTACTCAACTTTGCCTGAGATCCCCTTCAAATCCCACTGACATTCCTAAAAAATATCAAGAAATCGCCTCTCAAAAGTCCCACTCAGCTGCTTTTTACTATACCTCTAGCAGAACAGATGCGAAAGATACGAATCCAAATCAAAGTGGCAGCTGATTCCAAAAATAAACAATATATAAATGTACAGCCATGGGGTTAGGAGGTTTATTAATAGACAAATAGCAACCCCATGTGCACAAACTTCTTGGGGTTGACAAAGCCGCAGCTTCCTAGTAGTATTAATTCCCCATCAGAAAATGAAGCATCATCCTAAGAACAAAGCCAGTGATAATCACATTGATTCCCCAGGAGAAATCTCATCAATGTGATTATGATTGTTTCTTTGGTTTCTTTTGCTTTTCACTTCCCACAACTCCGCGAATCGAGGAAGCAGTAAAATGTTGAAGGAATCCCTTGTTTCTTACAAAGTTCAAATGGGAACTTTTGTGAATTGGACGTGTTGAAAAGAATAGAGAAAAGGGAATACTGTAGAACACTGTTGAAGTCCAATAATTAAGGAGGGGATTGAATGCGATGTGGATGTGATGGGGTTTGAGGGCCAACAGCTCTTTGCTTCCCCGTTTCTGCAACCATAAATTTGATGTTGCCATCGCCATGGCCGACTCCGCGTTTTGCCTTGGAAGCATCATGAATGAATTTGGGGTATCTTGTGCTTTGCTTACGTTGAAGACCATCGTCCACGTTTAATGGACCCCTCGCAGCTGCTTCATTCCTCACACCTTCATTTGGAAGCATATTTTTCATTCAAGAACTGGATAGAACTTGAATCCACCCAATGAAAAATATATGAACAAAAATAATTTAATATCGATGTTATGGGTAGGATTCAACAAGGTTGCATGTGCAATCCTTTGAAATTAAGCTACCAATTATGATTGTGATTATGAAAGTGATATAAGAAGCCATTACGCTTGGCTAAGGTGGTTCATCGTTCCATCAAAAAGTTATCATATTAGACGTAATTCAGTATTGTCGAGACTGCAATGAATGCAAGGAAATGTCTAGGAGCGTCGATACGATACAATGAATCTATATTTAGATTTTGAATATTAGTACAAATCATATGAAAGTTTTGTTTTGTTGGAAGACCCACATCTTAGATTTGCTTCGTATCAAATATGTTTATCTTAAGATTCTTGGTGAATAAGTCGTTTGAGAAAGAGCACCTTGTTGGTTCAATCATATAAGTTGTAATCATTGAATCTAGGTAGGATCTTTGAAGTTTGAGCTCATCCACGCCACCATCTCAGTCATGTTGCGTCTCTCATCTCTAGATCACTTAACTCCTTTCCCGCATAAAATGTTTTTAAAGTGACTTTTTCTTCCCAATTTTTTTCAATTACATAGAAGTTCGTCACACACCTGCACCTGCTCACCACGAACATGTCCCTCTTTCTTTGTATACTTTTTGCATTTTCCAAATCTTTTCATTAATACCTAACATCTCCCTCGTACAGAAATTTAAGGTATAGTTGTTATTTTTACGCGATTTCTTGTTTAATATTGTATATCTCACTTCCACGAACCTAACGAATCAAATTTCAACGACATTCGTACGAGACTAAAGCATTAAGTCACGAGTCTCATAGGTTTGTTATCTTTCAAGCTCGGGCTCCTTTCCAAATCAACACCTCAATCTCATAATTTGGTTCTTATGAACATAAATCGTGAATCCATCATCTATGCCCATACTCGAATCCCTTAGTATTTTAACTCGAGCTCAAGCATACAAAATATAAAAATATAAAATAAAAATATATACTCTCCCCTCGTATAAAAGGGAAAATCACATGATACCAAAAAAAACAAAAAAAAAAAAAATCAATATTTTATCTTTGACTTTTATCCTTGGTCAATATCTCAATTCTTTTAAAAAATAATAATTATTATTTTTACTATACACACCCATTACCAACAAACAAAATAAATGGATTAATATTATAATATATAATTAGGTAACATATAGTACCTTAAAAACTAAGATCTAAACAGACATTTTATTCTTAAAATAAAACAAACAAACAAACAAACAACCAACAACCAACTTTATGTTTTTCCCTTGGATTGTTGGCAATTTTATGTTCACAATCACAATGATTACTTAATAAACTTCCAACTCAAAATTTGAAATTTCAAGCTACCTTTAAATTTAAAAAAATAAATTTCAAAATTACTTGGAAATTATTCATACCATTGAAGTTTCAATTGTTTTTATTAATATTTTTCAATTTTAAAAAAATTTTAAAAAATACACACGCACGTACTTAAAAAATATTCATGAACGTTTAAGAATACTAATCATTAAAGAACAAAAAGCAATTTTGTCTCCATATTAATAATAAAAATATTTTTAAAAAATTTTAAAATGTAGGGATATTTTTTAAATTAAATTTTAACCGTTTCATGTAAAAGTATTTTTTTTTTTTTTTTAATTTAAGAACATTTTTAGATTTTAGTAAGTTAAAAATTATTGCTGAAAAAGTATCATGTAAACCGAGCATAGAAAAATAGTGTACTCTCGACCATTCTACATGCTACCTAACAAAAGCGTTGCTTTCTAATCTAGTGGATGTTGAACCTGCTACCTTATTAATTAAGGAATCAAACACAACTACTACATAAAACTCTTTCTTTTCGATAATAAATAATAATAAAAAATAAATGTTTTATCTTTTCGAAACAAAATAAAAAAAAATGGTTGAGAATTATTGATAATAGTAGTTTTATTAGAAGTAAAAAATATTATTTCTATTTTGTCCGGAAACAAAAAAAAAAAAAAAAAATACACTAACGAATTTTTTTATTTTTTATTTGAGGGTATTTTTTAAAAATTAAATGTGTTAATTTTTTAAGAAAAAAATTACAAATATTTTTATTAATTTAATGAAATTGATAGCAAAAGAAGGAAAAAAAATTATTGAGAGAGAGAAAAGAGAAACTCGGAAGCATATTCTCTCTCGAAATTGAACTTTCGGCATATTGAAGCCAAACTTCCTACTCTCTCCAGAAATCGAGGAGGATTTTGCAGTTTCTTCTAAAAGTCAGAGCTCAAGCATCTCAATCCACAGGTTTTTTTTGTTTCCTATTCTCATTTTGTTTTGTCCAACTGATTCATATATACTCTGTCAGCGTAGTGTTTTTCATTCTGATTGTTCTTAGTGTGCGTTGGCGTAGAACAAGATCTGAATTGTCATGAAATCGATTATAATGCGTAATGTCTGACAAAAAACCGGAGGATCTTGTTTGGAATGTTGTATAATTTTCACCGAAATTATAGTAGTTTATCTGTTGCTGAAGGCCCAAATTCCCTCTATAATCTTCGATTTTGTGGTCGAGGAATTTACTTTTGTTCAAATGTGTGGATGGAAGTACGACATTTGAGGTTCTTTTTGGGAATCATTATTCGTATTTTCAATTTGGACTTATTGGTGAGCTGATAGCGGAATTTGACTCTTTCTTAGCAATTTCTGAAAGTGCGAGCTTCTTTTAGGGAACGAAGAACTTTCATATGGTGTTTTGGATGAAAGTTGTTCCTTAGTTTTGAGATGAGATTAACAAAGACACGGATGTTAGGTCCAACTCCAAAATTATGATTAATAGTTCGTGGATTTTGCATAGGCGTCCTCGTGTGATGATGGTTTTTTGCGGATTATTCTTTATTTTTTAAGACATGTCTAAATCCTTTCATCTTTGTTGTGAAATTCCCTTACTTGAAATGAAAAATCAGAATATGTTATTCGAGAGAGTTCTTGAAGTTCAATTTCTTATTCTTTCTACTTCGCTTGCTGTTAATTCATCTCTCTCTCCCTCTAACGCGAGAATCCAATTTCGTTTCCAATATACTTCTCTATCTCATTGCCGTTCCATTTGTCATGGAAGTAATTTATTCTTAACTTTTTCTGCAGAAAAGCTAGTGACCGGCACTTAAAAGCTTCGTAATCATCACTCTTGCCTCCTCTCTCTCTCTTTCTGGCGGCTAACTAACATTCCCTCTCATCCCTCATTTTTCATTGAAGTTATTTAATTGTAAGTTTTCTGCAGAAAAGTAAGTGACCGGCACAGAAAAGCTTTGTAATTATCACTCCCCCCCGTTGATTCCTGTGTA